AACTGTCACCGCCAATAGAGCTGGCGGTCTAGAATTCTCATCCAGGCGGTCAGGATCGCTCAGATCTTCTGCTGGTGAAGAAAATACGCCAATGCCGGGCTCGAACCTAGGTCCATGAAGTTACAATTGCGAAAAGCATCTTATTAAAGTAAAATAGGGTCGGTATACAAGTGACACTCACTAAGTCCAGAAAACTTGTTTTGAGATACATCAAGTTGAATTCAATCCTGTTAGACATGTCTTCACAATATCTTTTGCTATAAGTGATATTAAACAGCATCTCTTTACACACAGTTCGTTATGAAATATAGTTTTTAGGGAACAAAAAACCAGCCCCAAAGATAGATGTTTTTCGGTGACCTACGTATAGAAAGAAATACTCCATAATTAAGTACACTCCAACATCAGAACTAATCAAAATAATAAAAAAGTGACATAACCTTATAAATAACTCAAGAACGTCACAAATGGACGTGGTGAGTTCCACTTGTATTTTCGTCCGCTTAGTTACAATTCGGAACATCGTTCGGCGACGTCGGTGGCGGTGGAGGCAGTGGCGGCGGCTCGTTCATTGTGACGAAACGCTCCGCGATTAGCATAGTGCGGCGGTGTGCGTGCCGGCCGAGGGGCGGAGAGGGCGCTGCGAAGCTGGGCGCGGATCGAGTTTCTGGCGTGCCCGAATATTGCGGGCAGCGTAAGGCTCCACGGGAAGAGAAAGGATGAAGAATGGGAGAAAGTGAAACCGAAATAAGTAAGAGACTGGACTGCAGTTTACAAGAAATGTTTCTTGCTTAGGAATTGTTCTTAATAAGTAAGAGGTTTAGAAAGCGTTTGTGAAGAATATTGTTGTTCAATTGTCATTTGTCCAATTGTTTAGCAATATCCAGTAAAAAACGGATGTTGTTGAAGGGGGGAGTACGTCTCTCCGGAAATGTTTAAGTTAATTAGTAGTTTTATTCCATCAGAATATGTCGGTGAGGACATACAAGTGATGCTGTCAATAAGAGTAGAGTTTTACCTCCTTTCGAATACTGATAACGTTCGTAAGAAATAGCATGTCATATAAACGAATAATGTTATCATGTGCAACACACATCAGGATATGCTGGAAGTTCTTAACTTGAGCTAGTTAGCAGCCAGTGACCGTCGCAGGACAATTTCCATTACAGAATTTTACGAGTAGCATTGGATGAATGTGAATTCAGTATTGCTAATGTCAATATAAATTACATTTTTTAATTGTGTTTATATACATTATATTTTTTTAATAAATAGTTCTCTAAGTATATTCCCATAATATATTTTTGAATTCATGATTATCTTCGACAATTACGCAACAATAATAAATTGTGTTTACATTATATCTACATACTTATAAAAAGTTTTGTCCTGAATACATTTCTGTATTCCGAGTGGTGATACTCTTCCTCGCATCCGAGATCTACATCCGCCCCTGTGTTCTAGGGTGGAGCGCTGCCGAAACGGAAGTAAGAGTGGTGCAAAGTTGAAGGCGGACCGTCCGTGCGAACGTGGGACGGTGAGAATGCGAAAGCGCGAACAGGTTTCCGCAGCCTGGAATGCGCCTGAAGGTCACCCAAAGGCGCTGGTGGGCGGGGGAGGAGGCATCGGTACGTTCAATTATTCCGTTTCTTCTGACACTTACTCCCTATTATGAATCACTGCTTCGATCAGACTCTTCCTGAATGTATACTATTTTCTAACACGTAAGAACATGATAGTCAACATAAAGTCCCGCATTGTGGAGAACGTTAGGAATGAAAGATGGCGTGCCTTTCGAGACCTATTTACTCGAATTTTTGTTTTTTCTGTTAGTACGAGGGCTCTCTGATCAAGAGATCACGATCTTAATGAAACAAATTGGTACTCTCTTGAATGTTCTGTTATACCTAAACATCGTGACCAGAAATGACATCTCACCTTGTCGCCACGACCGCAAATTAACAATTGTTGTATTCGAGAATTGAGAGTCGTAATAGAAAATGAAATTTCTGTTCGAAAAAAATCAGTAAAATTGGTATAGGCTAAAAAAACCAGACCCCCTTTAAAGTATAATTTTTAATTACCCATTTAGAAAATTGGGAGTAGGTTGACCGAATCGTGTAAAGAGAAAATGTAACTCAAGTTATAGTAGTACGAGTACATAATTGAGAGCACAAAGAAGGCAAACACGATCCTGGAAAAAGTATTTGTGGGGCCATCAGAGCATCTTTGTGAATATTATCTTGGAGTAAACTTCTTTTACACGTTTTTCCGCTCGTTAACTACCTGTAAATTATCTGGATGTATCTGACATTATCACAATAATCGACGTAATTATAATTATGTAAGAGAAGCAACGAGTAATTATGTCCTGTTTGCGCATTTTCTATTTCGTACACATTACCATTATCGAAGCAAAAGCTGGTCAAAACTATGATCAAGCTGCTGCTGTCGAGAATCCCAGAAGTGGTTAGTGGAATTTTCAACAACATCGCGACGATATTTGGCTGAGGAATATCATGCTGCTGACAGTGGCGATGATGGCGATAGCAATTATGACAACATGGTGACAATAGCGACTGTAATAATGACATCATGAAAACGTCGATGATCGCTGAAAATGGCAATGTTGACTGTAATGAACATTATAGTGGAAAGGATGACGCTGAACTATTTTGCCTTCTAACGTGTATTTTTGAAGCAAAGATAGGCACCTCCCTCCTTTCTTGGGTGATGTGAACCGATAGCAAACTCATTGACAATGGAGGGACAGATGATGGTGGTGTTATCAGTGAGACAGACGTGAAATATGTTTGTGTTCCTATGAGAATTATTGAAACAAAGACGAGCCTACCTTAATTGTCGTGCCGTGAGGACCGGTAAGCTGTGCAAAAACGAGGGGAGTGTGGTCTCGCGGCGAGGCCTCATGGGTGGCACAGCGTGTCGAGGACTACTCCAATATCCCGTTGTCATCAATATCCTTAACAAAGAAAATTTTATGAAAATGATGAATGTGATGATGTTGATGACAATGGAGTCAATAACAACTACGTTGATGTGATGGAGGTACCCGGCTGATGGCACCCGATGGCAACAATGGCGTGATGCTATCAGATTATTGTGACTACGATAATGGTTGACTGTAATTTTGCTGAAGGAAAGATGACAATGACGATATTGATTGCAATGACGATCCTGGCAACACGGATGACGGCAGTGATGTAACATTGGGGCACACAAGGCTCCTAATGCAGGCGGGCCCAGGTAACAGAGGGCCTATTTTTAGGGTGAAGGTTTTGTAAGAAAATATTAATTACTTGATATTTTCTTTGAATTTTGCGATAATAGAAAAAATAAAATATTAAAAACAGTATCTTCTAGAAAAACGATGTTTTCCGCTTCGGTAAATGATGTAACCCTGTTACTAAATCGTTAAATATAATCAGTTCATAAAAAGTTTTCAATATATATACTGTTTTTATTAATAAATCTATATGTTAGTAACATTTATTTCTTATGAAGTAATCACAGACCGATGCATTTGAATTTGTTAAAGAATATTTTTATTATTTAATGTACTAACACTACTTGTGTTTGAAATACAGTTTTATAAAGGCGCGTCCGGATAAAAAGTTTTTTTGCGCCCCAGCCGGTTCGTTTTTCATTCTCGTTTAACTGGGGCGGACGCTACATCTATGGATGTTCGCGATGTTCTTTGTTGCTGAGAATGCAAAAACCTTTACACCCTCAACATACATCTACCGCTTGCACTCGTGCCGTATGGACCGCGGCGTGCAGCGCGCAGGAACGGGCGCGCGTCGGCAGGCGTCGCGGCGGGCGGCGCGGCGCCGCGGGAGACGCCCGCCTGGTGGGCCCGCGCGGCGTGCCGAGGAAGGCGCGGCGCGCGCGCGCATCATTTGCCCGCGCGCTGAACACGCGGCGGACGCGACGCGACGCGCCCGGCGGGACGCTCTGCGGGGGACGCGAAGTGCGCGGCGCGGCAAGGCACGCGCTTCGGCACACGCCACTGACTGGGGAGAAGTGTGCCTGAGCGGCACGACGCAGGTGAAAGTGTTGCAGCCGGACGGACGGTTCCAACGAAGGGCATACAGGAAATTGTTTCTGATTTGTTTTTCCAATCACTAATAACGTTATTGAGATCTTGATTTTGCATCGTTCCGTCGTTCGATTCTTGCAGATATTGGTTGAAGAACACAAAATTTATTACAAACCACTATCAAACACAGACAAGCCAATGGTACAGTTCTTTCTAATGAAGAAATAGATATATACATCTTTAAAAAACCGAGATGCCTGTTGGTTCCTAGTTTATCCTTGACCACGGTTGACATCAGCTCTCGCTCTGATTGCTTATAAACCGGTGTACCGCCGTAACAAGTCCCAGGCGGGGGGAAATCCATTTCTTCATATATTTTAGAAGGCTGAATAAATGTATAGAGCCTGCATATTCCAATGATTAGCTTCAGAGTACGTTATTGTCAAGTATTATCCAAGAGTTCTCTTGTAGTCTATAGTATATAATAGTCTACAAAGGTGTCCCTGCGTATTCTTAAATGTGAAGGTAGAAATGGATAGATATGAGATACAATAACTCACTTATGGATACGTACACACGTAACAGATATTAAAGTAAAATTATATTAAGTTATCTAAAAGCTTGGAGGATAACGAGAAGAATATATTTTAAAAGTAAAGGATTCTAATGGAGGAATTGGTACAATTCGAATTTTGTTTCCTAAAATAGACCCTATACGTCATTATTTTACGCGTGCGAGATATTCGAAGATCCGAAAATCTTAGTATTCAAGGGATCAAGATTTTGAAGATTTGACACGAATAACCGAAAGTTCTCTTTAGAAATCCCCAGTCGCAACCCACCATCAGACGTATGTCGCCACCGCAGCATCTTGACCACGAGCAAGGAGTCGCGGCGACGGCGCACGCAGCGTCGTCTCCCGAAGTGCCTCATCAGTTTCCCTTTATACCGCGCGCAGCAGCGTCGCGGAGATAAACTGCCTCTTAGTCGCGCCTCGCCGCCGATAAACATCTCCTGGACGGTGACTGTCGCGCGTCCATGGCGCCGCCGCCATCTCCGCCTCCGCCACCTCCGCCGCCGCCGCCGCCGTGCCACCCGTGACAAGTCGCCTGCTTGCCTGCCTTCGACGCTCGTTACTGCCGGCGAAACGGCCTAATGGCAGGCACTTTATAGTCCGTGTGCTGCACCGGAGATCCACACGTCCGGAAATATGGAGCCGTATGTGCGTTCGGTTGTGATGGCGGACGAGCGATGGCTGTTTGTGATCAGGTTCTGGTAGGTCTGTGAAGGAGAAAAATAAATGTACGTGTCGTGGATGATTATAGTAAAGTTTCTTGATGTTTCTTGTTGCTGTTCGTGGTTTCAAGAAGGCAATAACGTAAATGCAGTTCCAGAATAAATATTCTCTCTCTCGAAATCCTAAGAAAAACTCAATTTGGAAATTTATAATGATCAGGCTAGGAAATTGAACTATTTCTGTTCACTCCATTTAATTACATTAATTCTTCTCACGCCCACTTCGTTTAAAATATACATTGATTTTATTGGGAATAAATTTTGTAATAATTTGAGCAAAATTTCCTAATCACCAACACGTTTGAGACCCATACCTCTGTTGCACTGTGAAGTTGGATATGCGTACTGTTGTGAAATGGGGCGAGGGATGACAGGATGACATTTGTAACAGGATTTTAAATTATCTAAGACGGAGAAAAAAGAATGCAGTACGTGTCGTGAATTTTTAATGTTAATTGTTCAAAAAGCTATTTGAATAAGTTAGGATCCATAATAAGTTCATGAAATGGAATTTTTAGTAAGTCGAATTTCAATTATGTAACTGCCAAATCACATTTTTAAAACTTTTCTACACCGTACCATTTAATTATATTAATTCGTACATTCGTAATTCGTACATTTAATTACATTAATTGGTACCATTTAATTATTTGATTCTTGCTACATCTTCGATAATAAAATATAAATAATTCATTATTAAATATTTTTATTTTCTTACGAAGAATTGCGTCATTTTCTCAACGGTTTATTAAACAGTCCCAGCTCTTTCGTCCATTCTTGGTATGGTCGTAATGGTGTAGGAGTGATGGCTGTTTGTAATTGGGTTCTGGTGGGTCTGCAAAGGAGAAGAATGAATGTACCTGTCATGGATAATTATAGTGAAGTTCTTGATGCATGTAGTTTATAGTCTCAGGGAAGTAATAAAGATGCCTCCAGAGCGAATTTTGCAACGTTTCTTCGAAAAGCGGTAATTATTCGAGAAAATAAAATTTGATTGGTGCAATATTGAAATAACTTTAATATTTGTATTTATTTAATATTATTTAATGACAATGAACTGACTTCAGATTAAATGTTATTTAATTATTAGAAAATTTACTACATTTTAGTGTTGACTCTTGGATAGATTTTCTTCATTTCTGTCCACGTTAGTGTGATGGGCGAGGAGGAAATGTTGACGTTGAAATTACGTTTGTTAGATATTGAGAAAAAAAATGGAGGAGGAATGGAGTAAGACAAGAGAGGAATAAAGTAAAAGAGGACTGAATGTAATCGCTGAGAACTACAGAAACGAATGTAGTTGTCGTGAATGATTGTTCTAGCTCCTTATTACAGTTGACAATTCCAAAAAGTGATAAATATTAGTCGAATTACTTCTCATTGGTATATAACGATGAAAGAAAATACTCGTTCTTTCAAAGTCACTCTAATGAGTAAGCCTTTATCCTCTTTAAAACATGGTGAGCAATGAAAGACTATTAGAGAGCAGGAAAGATATCTTGAAAAAGCATTCACTTCCTTGCAATCTTTTTGCCAGAATTTATTGCCATGAATGTGTATGAATTAGAGCAGTATTTGAAATCAGAATGAAACATTATACAGAATAATACAACATACGTTATACGGAATTTTTTGATGGAACAATTCTCCGTACTTTCGTGTTTCTTGGAATACTATAATAACAGCAATTTATTTTGAGTTTGGACAAATATGCATATTTTTCATTTAATTGCTCGGTTTTCTCATCTTAAGGCAAATCTAGCATATAATCGTAAGATTTCTAATATTACTTGACATGTAACGACCAGAGGATATTATTTACATCGTGCATGTAATTCTCTACTCAGCAAGCTACCTTATTCAAAATAACTTCCCATCGTTCGTGAAGGTCTTTTCTCACTGCATATGGCCGATTTATTTCCTCGATAACCATGTGGTACCTGGCAGAGGCATTATATTCTTTCGTATCCTTGCGAAGCGGTATGTTACTCCCTCATGCAAAACAGGTTCTATTCCTCCTACCAATTACGAGACGTGTTAAGGACGAACCCATGAAGACGGATATATCGATTTAGAAATCTGCGCTTCGCTGTCAGGCCGGGTTTCAACGCAGAGTCGAAAAGAAAGATGTTCGAAGCCACAAGAAAGAACGAGGCGTCTGATCATAAAGAGCGTCACGAAAAAACACGAAAGAGTTGGTCGGCGGTTAACCAAGAATCTTGTCTTCTCTGCAACATGCCGGCAACTGCCACCGCGTTCCCACCTTGATACCTTGCGACGCCGTATAATTTCCTCGACGAGGCCGGAAATAATCGTCCTCTGCCTTCTTTGGTCGCAGGAGAAGCCGCTTTGCTCGTCAACGTCATTGTTCCGCACCGCTCACTTCGGGACGGAGACACAGGAAGGATCGCTACAGTGGGCTCGTAAGCAAATATCGATGCGCATAATGTTCATAACAACGTGTACGATATCATCGAATGTAAGCGCGCATGTGCCACAAAGAACCATTGACAGTTGGAATGAGATGAATATGGAACGAGAAAAATTATTATTATTATTATTATTATTATTATTATTATTATTATTATTGGCGTGCAGGCCATTACTGACCAAGGTACACAATTAACGTGTGTAATTTTTTCAGGATAAGATTTTCAGCTGTATCCCTTAATAAGTCAAGGTTGTAACGCCTTGAAGTGTGAATTTTGAGATAATAGGATGATGATGAGGGGTGCGGGGACAATTACAAATACGACCATGTCCACACAGGGCTCGAACGTGCAGCCTCCTCGGCGCAAATGACGGCTGCCGCAAACGTCTGCGCCGATTTTTATTATAAGTATAATAATAA